ACGATAGTGTTCGGATGGCTAGATGTCCGGAAGGTCCCGATCATTAAGACAAGCACATGGGTCGGTTCTCGGTATGCGTGTCCAAGTGAGTAGTGAAGCTCGATGACATCCCGTTGCTCGGGGTGACATCCTACAGTACCGGTGGGCACCCGGTAAGTGAGAAAAAACTAGTCTTGGCCCGGTAAGCGGCAAGACTCATCTCGGTTGCCAAGTTTAATCATTCTTTGTCCGGAAGTCGGCAGGAATCATCCCAGTAGTACCCGGTAAGGCCATTTAGCCCGTTATTGACTAGTTTCTCGGCAGGAATGGTCTCAGAGGCGTCCGATGGGCCCGATAAGCTAGTTTTGACATAGTTAAGCGGCAGGAATGTCCTGGTTGTACCTGGTTGGCGTTTTAAGCGCGTTCTGGCCCCGTTATGGGTCAGAACTCATCCCGGTAAGGTCCTGGCTCATCGTAGGAGCGGGACGGCCGAGTGACCGAGAACCAAGATGGTTGAAATCAAGTTGCGACGTCGCATTTAGAAGACCTTGGCCTAGAGTAGAGACAAGGTAGAACCGTGGGGCTTGGCCTAGCGTAGAGGCAAGCCGGCTAGAGTCGCGTTAGAGTTTAAATGCACGTGCGGGCGACGTGCATTGCGGAGACAAGTGAGAATTCCGCTGCAAGTGAAGCTCGGTTGAGGAAGAAAGAACCTCGCCTAAGGTCCGACGAAGCCACAAAGGGGCGCGAAAAGTGGATTGGAGCTAGAGTTCCTCGTAAGGCTGGCCATGGTCGAGCTTAGATCATGGCGCCGCACGGTTGAAAAATGTACGGCCGTGACACCTGGCGATGCTTGTGTGCGAGTGGCTCCTCGATAGGCTTGTCCTTGAAATGGGGCCACTTGCTTGACTTCTCTTCTTCTCCACGCTTCCTCCTGACCCTAGGGATTACTTCATTGGCCTTCAAAATAGTCAAAATTTGTTGATGTTTCCAATGAAGTCTCCTTCTCTTGTAGGATCTTTCCTCAAATTCTTCTTCTTTGTTGGTGTAGATGTCATTTTGGAATGTTGTGCCAAATATGATCACATCAATCTTGGTGGAGTTTCGATTCTTGTGCAAACGTATGGTTTTCTTCAAAAAATAAATAAATAATGTATTTCTGACTGACTAATGCCTACTCAATTCTAAATTACTTTGATCATTTCATCTTTAATTAAATTTGTCAAATGAAAATTGGAAGTTGAGTGAAGTACGCCTTAGTGGATGTACGATATTTGAAATTGTTAGCCAAAAAATAACGAAAATAAGAAATCCAAAAGAATAAAAAAAATTATCTTGATTTGATCATATCATTCAAATGGTTGACATTTTAAATCTGAAACATTTGGCCAAAGACATTTTTCTTATGATTTTTTTTCAACCAATAATAAATAAAATGTAATAATACTTTCACTTTAGCTAATCATTTTATTTTTCATTTACTTATATACTCTTTTAAAATAGACATTTGATAAAACTCTTTTAATTAATAATAATTTTAATTTGAGGGCAAAGTCTCCGTGGAGTTCCGACTCCTGTGAAGATGCACGAAAATCCTCACTAGTGTGCCTTCATGGAATTTCAACTCCCAGGTAGGTGCACAAAAATCTTCATAACTTTACATAAATTTAAATATATTTTCTAAACGGCAGCATTAAAATGATCCTCTCAGGTAAAATCCTATGATAGAATTGAGATACAATTTCTCAAATTCTTGAGGTGAAAAACTATCTTTTATTTAAAGTAAAATTTAAACGTGATCTCACTCATTTATCAAATCATTTTCATAATAAAATATTTGAATAAGCTTTAACCCCAACTAGCCTTTTGAGTCCATTGTTCGAGTCAGCCAAAAAACTTTTTAAAAAAAATAATTAATTTTTTCTTTTTAATTTTTTTAGATAAAATAGTTTCTCTTTTTTTTTGGATAAAATAATTTCTTTTTTAACATTTTTGTTTTTATGACAAAATATTTTCCTTTTTCATAAAACATGTTATTTTTTATAAATTTAAAATATTTTTTCTTTTTTGGGGGGGATAACATATATTTTTTATAAAATATTTCCCTTTTTATAAATATTTTCTATTTCTTAAATTAAAAATATTTTGAAAATTTATTATTTATTTGAAATTAATAATTTTGAAGATTTATAAAGTGTATCGAAAACAAAGTAAACTAATTCAACTAGATGTGAGTCAACATCATTTAAGACTAATAGCCTGAGTGAGACTGCTTTGGAGATCAAATTTGGTAGCATTTGAACAATAAATATTATTACTGCTTTTAATTTTATTTTTTAGACTTAAATTGTATTAGACTCTAAACTGTTGACAATCTTTATTTCTTCGAGTATATGTTATATCTATTCATTTTATTTTTTTTTAAAAAAATCAACCTAAGGCATATTTTCAGACTAAAAGATCGTAGATTTGAATACCCACCTACACAAGTTGTTGTACTAAAAAATACTAAAAATGAAAACGAAAAACAAAAAAGAATTATCAATCGTATATTTTTGTTTCGTAGATGGTTACCAAACGGATTCCCGTATCTAGTTTTAAAAAAATTAGAAGCAAGAATCAAGAACGTCATCAAACAAACCCTCATTTTCCTTCATATTCCTTACCATCCTAAATATACTAAAGTCAGCTGACGTAGTAAGGAAAAGTAAATAAAAATCGTGTAAAATATTAAAAAAAAAAACTACGTGTAACTATCATGTTTGACCGTCCATGAACATAAAAATCAAATTGATATCAAATGGGCAAAATTGAACTAAGCCCTAAACGAAGCCAATTTTAAACTTTTAAAACCATAGGACCAACTTTGAGCACAGAGCTCATAGGAACCAAATTGGTAATTTAACCTAACTTCAAATTCCAATTCAATTTGTTTGATCTTCCTACCAACATGAATTTATTTACAAATTTACCACATAAGACTCCTCAGGTAAACACATAAAAACCCCTTTTGAAAGATGCAAGCTTTAATAGAACATTGAAGGTTAGACTGACTACACATGATCTAACTCCAAATTTTTACCTGCATCTTGCGGTATGTTAATATATATTTTATCAAATTTACACGAGCAACAAACATCTCGTCTTGTCGTTTGGAATCTCCATCCTCATTCCCAGTCACTGTCAAAGAAACCAGCATCCTTCATCTCCGAATAGTATACATTCTCTAAATGCAAATCGTCCTCCTGAAAAAATGATAAAATTCCCGAGATTACAAACTTTATTTTAGTAAAAAAAAAAATAGATGAACCTTTGGAACCGAAATGACTGCGAAGGTAGAATGAGATGATGAGACAACCTGGAAGAAGTCGGCAAGGAAATTTTCATATAGAAGAGGAAGATAGAAGGCATGATAACAGACGATAGTGGCACCGTAAAGCCTGAGACAGTAAACAAAACATGAAACAAAATCTGAGAAAGAAGAATCAAAATGACCAGCTTCTAATGTAGTAGATATTGAAAAGTGGCTAATTACCATTCAAGTCCTCATCATTTTGCGCTTATTCAATTTGGTCGCTTTGAAAAATTAAACTTAGTCCCAATAATCTAGTTAAATCTAACAAACACTTCTGCCATTACTAAATATTTAGTAGTTTTTTTCCCATAGCATGTTTTCTTAAGATGGCAGAAAGAGACAGTAAGCTGATGTTCACGTAATGTATGGGTACTGTGCAGAATGTACTCGAATTTGAATCGAGTAAAAAATAGAAAGATGAATAGGTATTAAGTCAAAAGGGATACATGTTGCGGCCAAAGAGGCAAGTTTCGAAAAGTAGGGGTTTCCAAATGAGAAAAATTGGGAGGTAGTTTACTATGAGTAAGCTTAGATTTACTTTCCCATCCGATCGATTTGGGAGGTTTTCGTTGAGAAGACTTATTTCTACACAAACCCTAGCTTTATTGTGAGAAAGGGAAAATTGGACACATTTGGGAGATTTGACCAAATTGAAAATTTTAAAATCCCAAAGAACAAGCTAAAATCAAATAAACCAGAGAGACTACAATGGTAATTTAAATTTGGTGTCCAGGATTACCAATAACCAAAGCCAGCTCCACTTCCAGCGAGCCCACAAGCGAACAGTGCTAATACGTTCAGAGAGGACATGATAACTACGTATCTGTAGAAAGCAGGTCTTGCTGCAGAAGAATTGGTAAAACATCAGGGTTAAGTTGTGACATAACAAGCACTTTTTCTTAAAATATTTTTCAATAGAAATGCTTTTAGTTACGAGTTTAATTACATTTTCTTAAAAGTACTTTAATAACAGATATTTTTGGTTATGGTGATTCTATTAATCACAAAATACAAATATGTTCTTTTTCTTTGAAGTGATTCTGGGTCGATCACTATAAAGTCAATTTTTTGATGATCACCTTCCAGAGTATTTCTTCAAAAAGAGTTTTTAAATCATTCTGATTTATTTAAAATATTTTTTGTCATACGAAACATAGGTAAACTGTTTTAAAAAGCTGTTTTAGTAAGTAATCTAAAATCACCTCAGAAGCTATACTACCAAACACAATCTAAATTAGTAATACTCCCAAACGTGCTCCTAGAATCATAAAAATAACAGATAACACACCTGGTAATTTCTCTCTATGGCTTGAATGGTACATGAACAATATAAAGCCATAAGCTGCAGTAATCAACAGACGGTGGATCACCCACAAGTTCCACTTCGTTCGATGTGTACTGTTGTCGCTTAAAATGAATAATGGAACTCCAAACCCAAACAAATAAATTCCCTAAAAGAGGAATGAACAAAAGAAAGCAAGAATGGATCAATAACATATGAAGAATTTTAAACACATTATACAAGCCACCAAACATTAAGGGTGAGTTTGAAATGACTTGAAATGGTTAAAATTGTGTTTAGCCAATTCAAAATGTGATTTTGACAAATTGTACTGCTGTGAAAATCCTACACTTGCCCAGCCCGTCTCAATGGGTCCCTTTTTTATTTCTCCCTTCTCAAAGGGCCTATCAGTGTCAAAAAGAAGATGGATCGTCCGGTTAGAAACTATTTCTGGGATGGTGCTCTCTGTCACCCAGGCAGCCATTTGGTAAATTGGGGTAAGACCTCTCCCCGCTTCAGTATGGGCTTTGGGGCTTTCCACCCAAGAAATGACTTCTTCCTCCTTAAATGAATTTGGAGTTAAACACGTGAGGATTTAGCACTTTGGAGAAAGGTTATCAATAGCATTTATGGGATCGGCTCTTCGGGGTGGTTAACGTTGCAACTGAAAGGGTGGGCTCAAGGCACACCATGGTTTGTTATCGCAAAGTATTTTTCGCTCTTCCTCAATTTCCTTGTCTTTAAAGTTAAATAAGGGTAGATAATAAGTTTTTGGAAGGATAAATGAGTTGGAAACTACCCCTTGGCTCAATCCTTTCCGGACTTGTTAAGCATCTCCACAAAGAAAGATGCGACGATGGCAGATTGCTGGAATGAATATCAAAAGACCAGGATTTAGGCTATAGAAAAGTCCTTTTTGACAGAGAGCTAGACAGTTGGCTGGGTTTATTTAATGCTATTGACTCTTTGAAGCTGGACTGTCTTAATGCTATTGACTCTTTGAAGCTGGACTGTCTTTAGACGCCTCGGGAGATCTTTCTTCAAAGGCAACCTTTCTAAAGCTCATGGAAAATCCCAAAGAAAGACTTTTTGGTCGTTGGCACGTGGAGGTCTCAACACCCAAGACAGTTTTAAGAAAAAATGTAGGCAGTGCACCCTCTCTCTCTCACCCTGCTGCTTGTGCATCAATAGCAGTGAATCCATTGATCATTTACTCCTTCATTGCCCTTTTGCTACGAAGGGGTGATCTTTTCTTCTTAAGGAGTTTGGCCTGCCCTAGCTCCTAAGGTATTTGAATCTTTTACTATGAAGAAGTGGTCTTCTCTTTATAACGCACGGATGATTGGCCTTCTGAAGCTCTTAAGGGTTGGCATTTCAAAGGTAAAGCATGTTTTGTGGAACTGCTAGGGCCCTTTTGTGGAAAGTGGAACTTATGGTCGGAGAGAAACAAGAGGATATTTGAAGATAGGTCTACTTCATTTATGATTTTTGTACATTTTTTTGTGACAATATACCGCTCACCTCTTCTTGGTGGAGTTACTATCCTAAAAAATTATTTGTTTATAGAAGAAGTGTTTCACTTAAAAAAAGTGCTCTCAAAAGTCTTCCAAAACTCAAAAAAGGAAAAAGAAAGAAGAAAGAAGAGATTGAGCTACACATTAAAGTTTAGCATGTTTTTTACAAGGAAAAAGAAAGAAGAACAGGGCTCAAAAGTCCTCCAAAATTAAAAAGAGGATAAAGAAAGAAGAAAGAAGAGATTCAGCTATTCATTAAAGTTCAGCATCTTTGACAATGAGATATCTATTACTACTATTTCTACCATTCATCAAACTAGGAGTCAATAGTTGCAGATCACATTGCAGTCAATTTTGTTTCTTTAGTATCACCATCAAATCAAATGATATCGATGGAAATTATCAAACTTTTTCTTTACATCACAATATTCTCCAGAGAGATTTTAAAAGATGTACCTTCAGAGTCAAGTCCAGGCCAACAAAAAGTCCTGAAACGATGAAAGTTCGTGCCAGTGCTTCAACACTGCCCACATGATTTCCTTGAAATAAAAAGGCCAACAAACTGACTTCCAAGAAAAGCATTCCAGATGTAGTGGACAAGGACAAGATATTCCATGCTAATTCTTTCCCAGAAGTACACTCCCATGCCTGTTATAATCATATTGTTTATTAAACGAATCAAAGCACGTTACTGAATTAATTTGTAAAAAAAAAATATTTGATCGAATGGTGATCTTGAAACTTAGCTACCAAGTATCTAGAGACAGGAATAACAAATGCTATGCTCTTATATGGTTGTGCATACGTCATAGCCAGATTTGGAATCAATAAAGTAAGTAATAACATCATAAAGAGCAATAACACAGGAATCAAGCAACCAGCAATCAGCATTTAAGGAAAAAAAATATAGAGAAGGTTGGGGATTGCATATTTTCAAACTCAACACTAAAATATAGACAATGGCTCCCCTCATTTCTGCGATTTGGAAGTTCAAAGCTCCAAAGAAGATTAAAACCTTCCTTTGGTCTTTAGCACACAGAAGCCTCAACACCCAAGATCTGCTTCAGAAAAAGTGTAGGAATGGGCTGATTTCCCCCTCTGTGTGCAGTCTGTGCAATGGGAGCAGTGAGAACATTGACCACATTTTTGTTCACTGTAAGTTTGCAACTAGAGCATGGTCTTTTCTTTTTGACTTTTGTGGGGTGGCATTTTGTTTCCCAAAAAGAATTGATGATTGGCTTGTGGAGGTTCTTCATGGGTGGACGCTTCCTAAGAAGGTGAGATTCATTTGGAATTGTGCTTCAAGAGCGCTTTTGTGGCACCTATGTCTTGAATGGAACTCTAGGGTCTTTGAAGATAGTTCTACTCCTTTTGACATTTTTTGTAGGAATGTACAACATACCGCATCATGGTGGTGTATCAATTATAGAAAATTCTTTTGTAATCACAACCTTTCCTTGTTAATGAACAATTGGAAAGAGTTGGTTTAGCTTCTTTGGGTGGG